GGTGCACCGAGCGGCATGTAACATCGTGATTCTAGCGGATGAAGAAGGGGACACCAGCGGGATATCCGCGGACGAGTTCCACAGTTCTGTCCTCCCTGCGCGGAGGCCATTGTCAGGACACAAATATAAGCGTCCAACTTGGTCCCCGGCCGGTTCCACATGAAACCGTACTGAAAGAACGGAATCAAGCGGAAAGGGTATTTCTTGCCGGTGTAGAGCTCCTGCACGGACGTTGGAACGAGATACAGACTCGTTCAGATTATGCGCGGCGTCTTTTGCGGACTCCTCCCAGAGCTCATCCCTGCGAACACTCAACCGGCGTCCACGAGAAAACCCAACGGGGACAAGTTGTTCTTGGGCAGCCCGGAGAGATGCCTTGGCCACCTTGAGGCACCTCTGGACGGCGCTCCCGTGTCGGGGGGGGGGTGCAATGCGTCATCAACTCTCTCCGGGGGGACTCTACCCGCGCCACAGCATGTACCCTTCGAGATCGTCGCTTCGCCGCCTGCTGCTGCTGCCACCGGATCGTCGCCGTCGCCTGGTGCCACCGCTTCGCCGCTCCCGAGGCCGCCCGCGTCATCGACATCCACCGCTCCGCCGCCTGCTGCTGCTGCTGCCGCCGCCGCTGTCGCCGCCGCCGCCGCCGCCACTGCTTCCGGACTGTTCGTCTTCGTCCATCGAGGCTGGAACAGTCCCCGCCAGGAAGTACGCCGCAACCACGCCAAAACCGGCGGGCCAGACCGCACCCCGACCGCACCGGGGCACGCCACGCCCCTCACGCCCCGTGCTTCGAGACTGCTGCTACGAGGCGAGGAGGGAGACCTTCGGCTCCGAGGACGTACGAGGGCGGGGACGCGCGCGCCAGCTCTCTGCTCTATCGGAGGACAGGCAGGTTGCATCCCCGTCGGACGAGGCCGTCAGCACACCTCTCCCTCCTCTTCCGAGATCACCATGGTGGATACGAACGAAGACGTGCTCCTCCTGTTCTCCATGCTGGATGCTCGGCGAGTCATGAAAGGCAAAAACGATGCTCCGGCCAGGATGGGAGTGGGGCAGCGAGAAGGGGGGCGGAGGCGAGCAGCGCGCTTGGAGTGGGGGCGCGGGAGAAAGCGAGGGCAGCCCGCCGGAGGTGGGCACCGGGAGAGGAGGGACGCCGCGCGGGGTATGGTTGGTCGGTCGGTCCCGATGAGCGGGGCGTTCCGCTCGGACTCGTGGCGCGTCTCGCGACGCGTGACGACCTCGGGTCGGCTACCTGTGAGATGGAGCCGCCTCTCCTGCGGCCCGGCATGCCGCGCTGCCACGCCAAGAACCTCCGAGTACCCCAGACGTTCAGGGAGGCGAAGGAGAGCGAGCACAGCGTACAGTTTATGGACGCGGCCAAGCGGGAGGTGTTTGGGTTTTGCTTGAAGCAGAGGCGTTTTTTAACATTGTCGGACCGTAGCAGCGAATGGACAACTGCATCAAGTCGAAGTTTGTGTTTGATTGGGGGGTTGATGCGTTCGGCTTTCCTACAAAGGTCAAGGGCAGACTTGTTGCAAGAGGAGATATGCAGAAGGAGTACACTGACTTTGGTGATTTGTATGCGCCTACTGTTGTATCTTCGCCTAGTGTTCGTTTGTTGGCAGCTTTGGTGTGAGGTTGACTTGGGAGTTCTGCCATTTCGATATCGACCAGGCGTTTGTGAGAGCCCCTCTCAAGGAAGATATTTTCAGGCGATTGCCGGAAGGATGTGGTGAGTTGTCGGGGAAGACTGCGCAGTTGAACAAGAGCCTTTACGGCTTGAGGCAAGGCATCTAGGGAGTGGTGCGCGTTGCTGAAAAAGTGTCTTTTGGCTTTGGGGTTCGAGCAGTGCATGGACGATTCGTGTGTTTTTCGTTTAGTCGAGGCGGGAGAAGTAATGTTGCTTCTATTAGTACACGTAGGCGATATTTTTGCAGCGGGGACGAAGGAGAGGTGTGATCAATTTGGGAAGTCTCTGGGGGAGTTGAAGTGGTACTCTGGTTGCTACTGCGAGAGGGACAGAGAGGAAGGGAGGTTGGCGATTTCGCAGCAGACATACACCAAAGAGATGGGAAAGAGATTTTGGTGTCAAGTCGTGGGGAGGCATTCCTTTGCCCACGACCTGGAGACTTTGGGGCTTTGACGTGAACGAGCCGAGCGTAGAGTACCCGTTTCGCGCGCTGATTGGTTCGCTGCTATGGACTGCCTTGCCGACTAGGCCGGATATCGCGAATGCGGTAAGGGCAGTGGCGAGGTACCGTAATGCACCCAAGTTGGTCCACTGGAAGGCTGCACTTAGCTTCTTAGGACATGCAGTTGGGACTTGTTCTTTCGGGATTTCTTTTCAGAGGGGGACGGTTTCGGGGTTTTCTTTGACCACATTCGCTGACGCAACCCAGGCCTCGCGTGCGGCGGACCGTAGGTCGGGTTCAGGGGGGGTAGTGATGTGCGCAGGAGGAGCGATTGCATGGTTTTCGAAGACTCGGAAGTGTGTGACGTTGTCTACTACGCAGGCAGAATACGTCGCGACGTCGGACATGGGGAAGGAGATCATGTTCTTGAGGCAGGTTTGGCGTTTCATGTCGCCGAAGGAGTTGCGGCCATGCATTCCCCTGTATGAGGACAACGAGGGTGCTATGTATCCAGATCGCAAAAACACCCGATCTCGAACTCAAACTCGAAGCACATCGATGTGCGGCATCACCTCCTCAGGCAGCTCGTAGATGAGAAGGAGGTAGAGATCATCCACGTTGCGTCGCGATATCAACATGCCGACTTCCTCACCAAGGCGCTACCTGAGAGGGAATTTGAGTTCCACAGGGACTATGTGATGAACTTGAAGTGAGCAATCCCGGAGATTTCTTTTGTTTGTTTCTGTAATTCTTATTCTTTCGATTTTTTTATGCGTTGATTTTTTGTGAATTTGAATTCAAGTTTCACCGATGGAAATTCTTGCAAGCGTTTCTGTTTTGATGGGTGGAAGTAGTTTCAAACCGATGGGAATTCTAATAGCAGTGTTTCTGGTTTAGTGGTCTCTATCATCGTTTTGTGACAAGAACGAAGTATGAGATGGAGGGAATGTCAAGCACTGAATTTTGTTTCCAGGTGTTTGGCGTGGGAGTGTTATATTAAGGATAGTGTAAGTCCGGGTGTAATCTTGCCAATGCAGCGAGCAGGGGGGCTGTTGGATGTCCTCACAGCATCGACAGATTATTACAAGCAAGAATTTTCCGAGCGAATGGAGCGCGGGGAGTTTGGGGCTTCAACAGTATGGATTAGATTTGGTGGAACCAAGTTTGCCACATACTGCAGGATTGATGGTGTGGGTGTCCTACAACGGAATTGGTGTTCGTGGTTTCTTCCCTGTGTACAACCAAGTCCTTTTCGCCGGCCTTCACGCCATCCGGCTATCACGCCACCCGGATTCCACGCCTCCAGGACTTCCACGTCCTTGCATATACCTTTACACTACGGCTTCCACGCCACATCCCAGAGATATCCTACCCGAGCCGCCACGCTCTACCACAAACTAGAAGGCTACCACGCCTGCGGATCGTTTCTGTATTTTAGATACCGTTTAGCGGCTTCCACGCTGCTGGCTCTCTTATTCCCGACCACGGGACCCCGCGCCGAGCCACACAAGCTTCTCAGCAGCAGTAGGTAAGTCTGGAAAGCTCAGGCAAGCGAGAATGTCCGTCTCTTGACTTCGGGGCATGCACCACAGATTCCCTGCACACGACACTGCTCGGCAGCTGGTTCAACAACACGCCCATACCTTCCTTGCCAGCAGACTTTGTCTCTGTTCCTATCCCAGCGGGCAACTACTGCTGTGCTGCAATACATCGTCAGTGCACCATCAGCCCCGCTCTCCGATCAATAACAAGAATCAATTGTGTAGGGTAGACAGGCACATTCTGGTGACTGCGGCCAATGCACACGTTATCTCTACGCGAGTTGGGGCAGCATCAGGCACTGCTGTTGCAAGTTTGAATGGCTTGGTGTGAACGCTTGCCGGTGCAGCAGTACGCCGTGGGTGTGTGCGTATCAAAAAGCATGTCACGCAGATTATGGCATCCCGTCACTCACTTTCTCGCATCAGGGTCGAACACCACCTCTACCCGAGGCTTCTTTCCCCCCCCCTTCGAGTTCTTGCGGTTCATGGCGTGCCGTGTGTAGCAGACAGAGGAGATGAGACACGACACTGCAGACTGCCCAGCCAGCCCAGCCTGTGGTTCACCCACAGGAGCCCCGTGGAATGTTGCCGAGTATCACGGGGGGGGTCGGCAAACGAGCCCGCAGAGGGGGAGTGGAGGCGGCAGAGCGGACCAGGCCAGAGCACATTGACCAAGGGAGGGAGAAGAGAGAGAAGCGGCAGCGGGGTTGTTATTGGGGTGGAAGGTCTTGTGACGGTGGTCTTGCCATCCTCGTTTCAGACCAGGTACGTGAAGCGACGGACTAAGAACAACAGGATCGATTCTCCCGTATGGTATCTCTCTCTTTCTCACCCCCCCTCCCGCACACGCTCGTTTCGTAGACGACTCTGCGTTCCTTGAGAGAAACAGAAATCAACCATCGATGCAATGTCAAGCGGGCACTGCTTGGTCGTCTGCGCGTGTGTAGTGCCTTGTGGGGAGAGACACAAAACCTAACGCATTAACTCTTTTTTTTTAATTACGCGTCCACCACTCGGCACTTGGCGGTTGCCCTCTGGTCTTATCCTGGTGCTTGTGCCGCAGGTTGTCGGCGCAGGCAGCACCGCAAGCACGTTGTTAGGGGCGACGCTACGTTGCGCCATCGTTTGGGATGGAGTCGGCAGGGCGGAAGCGGGCGAGAGAGGCGGAGGGCGCGGTAGCCGCCGTGAAAAACGGTGGCGGGCAGCGGCCACGCCGACGCAACAGGTTCGCGCCCGTCGATGAGGCACCCCCTCCTGCGAGCAGCGGCCCGGCGTCGGCAGCAGCCCCGCCTCCCCCAGCCCAGGCGGCGCCAGGGGACGAGGTAAGAGCAAGCTCATTGCAACGACAAATAGGCAGTCGTCGTTAAGCCCAAACCCAGGGAGTGTGGGGGGGGGTAACTTGAGTGAAGTGTTTGCATGTTCATTATCAGGCCATTGGATCCTCACGGAACCATCCTGTAACATGTCACAATCTGTGTTGCCCCGCGTGGGCGGCGTTGCCCCGCAAGGGTGGTTTGCACACGGATGCGCTGCAGCAGCAGCAGCAGCAGCAGCAGCAGCAGCAACTGTGAACAACTCCTACGAGGGGGGCGCTTTGTCTCCTGTTGTTGCCATTTCGTGTTTTGTTTTATTTTGCGCACCGCGGCTGGCGGACAGTCGCTGCCGCCCGAAGCTGGGGAGAGGAGAGAGAGGGAGTTTCGGCACAACACAACCCTCGATATCCAGCAGTCATCATGGACCCCATCGCACCCTACGCATAGTATCATTTGAACGAGTGGCCGGCCCCGAACCATGAGGGAGTTGAAAGGAGATATTTTACTCCGTCCCGAAGACCAGGGGGCCAAGAACGAATGCTTTTAAGTACCCCCCTCCCCCCCCCCCCCTAAGGGGCTTCGCGGCATGGTGATGTGCTAGCCTCGGCCGCCGAAAACCCGGGTTATCGCTCTGTCATGGCATCGTAGGGATGCGAGCCCAATGGTCTAGTGACTACGGGATGCGTTTACATGGGAACACCCC